CTACTCATACAGCCACGACCACCATCACTGTCACTGACTGTACCTGCCCTACTTCCGGCGCTCCTAGTGCCCCCGGGGCTCCTGGTGGCGGTCAAATTGGTCCTAAGCCTCCCGGCCCTATTGGTGGTGGTGGAGGGGGAGGAGCGCCGCAGCCTCCCGCTCCTGTTGGTGGTGGTGGAGGTGGAGGAGCGCCGCAGCCTCCCGCTCCTGTTGGTGGTGGTGGAGGGGGAGGAGCGCCGCAGCCTCCCGCTCCTGTTGGTGGTGGTGGAGGTGGTGGAGCGCCGCAGCCTCCCGCTCCTGTTGGTGGTGGTGGAGGTGGTGGAGCGCTGCAGCCCTCTGCTAGCATGCCTGCCCCATCTGGCGGCGCTGGCGTCAAACCTTCTGTTACACAACCCGCTCCCGGCGGTGGTGCTACGCAGCCTGGTATCTCTGTTAGTGTACCTCCTCTCACCGGCGGTGGTAGTACGCGCCCTGGTGGCTCTGCTAGCGTGCCTACCCTCATTGGCAGCCCGCAACCCTCTAGGTCGGCTTCCGTTCCCCTCACCACTGGCCCTCATGCCACTGGCTCCACCAGTGCAGCTGTCCCTACTAGCGCCTCAGCCACTGGATCCAACGGTGCTTGTCCCACTACCCTCTCGGGTACTACCCTCTCCGGTAACTACGAGATCCCCCACCTCATAGTTCCCGTCGACTCGTCCTCGCCCGGCACCGCTGCAGGAAGTGGACTTAACGGCACCGTGAGCTCGACTATTTCGACCGTGTTCAACTTTGACATACCAAACGCCGATTCTGGAAAGACCTGTAGCCTCATTTTCCTCTTCCCTAAGCTTGAGGATCTCGAGACCTCGTCATTCAGCTTTAGTGGTGATGGAAAGATTGGCTTCGCTGGGCTCTCTTCCACCGCCGACTCCCTGACATCCTTCAGCAACGTACCCTCGGTGGCCAAGGACCTCGGTGTTATCACCGTCTCCCCCGGCAACTCATACGTTGTCTCCACCTTCTCTTGCCCGGCTGGCCAGGCTGTCGCCTATCAGATGAAGAACGCTGGCAGCACTGACTTGAACTTCTTCGAGGACTGGAACCCTTCTCCGTAAGCTTCCATCCACTTTCCCTTTTACCTGTATATCAGCTAACAGCACTTGCAGCCTCGGTCTCTTCATCACTACTTGCTAAATAAGGAATGTCTGTCCAAACTGGCAGTTGTTTGCGGCTATGGACATGTGACTTCTACGGCCGTTTTTGATGCCTTGTAAACTTCCATTGATGTCTCCCTCACGTCGTTATGTATTTTCTGGTTTTCTGTTCATTTTTTTGGATCCGGTGTCCATACGGAAGTCATCATCCTCAAAAGCCGACTGTCTATTTGGTGGATCGGAAGACATAGTCATATATGATTGATGTTGAATGCACAACGTTCCTTCAGCTTGCGTGATAGTATCTAGCAATCCTTCAAAAGTACGATAAGCGATGAATATATCCTTGTACATCTATCTTGTCTACTACAATGGTACATGGCCTTTTGGGGAAAAAAAATAATGCTTCGATACCGGGAATCGAACCCGGGGCAACGGAGGTCATGTAATGAAAATCCGCTAGGTTAACCACTACCCCATATCGAACTGACTTGGTGTTGGTTTGCTGTAACACTTTTCTGACCCTGAACTCATGGGGGAACATAATTTCGTGCACCCAGGGGTAGTCTTATATTCATAGACTGCTGGTAATCTAAGTCCAAAGACCGCCAATGAGGTCCCTCAAAATGCAGGAAGAGGGAGGTGACCACGTGCTACAAATTAATGCCCATGCCAAGCAATGCCCTTTTGACTAGGCAGATATGTTTATTTCCCCTCCTTGGCTCCGTAGATCTTCAGATATCATCCAGTGTTCTGACATTCTCTTCTCCAAAATTCTTTTTGTTCTTCCTGGAGAAGTCCCGGAGTCAGGATGGAAATCCCCACAAAACTCCCCTTCTCCAAGCGGCGGCTCCGACCTCGTGTTGTTATCTCGTGTGTTGAATTTCCCCAGGTCTCCACAAATCCCTGAACTAACTGAACTACCAATTCAGCTACGTCTTTGACTATGTGATCATTATGTACGGGCATTAATTTCCCTCTTCATCTACTCTTTACTGACGATAGAACTAGTGTCTGCGCTATCGGCTTCTCGATACTGAACAAGGTCGAGCCCTTCCACCAACACTTCTCCCTCAACAACATCTCCATCCAATATCCTTATGCCGTACATGAACGCATCCCTATGGTCTACGCCCTCTGCATCTCTGCCGTGTTCCCAGTCGTCCTCATAATCCTTTACACCTTGGTCATCGATGGCCTATTTTCGCACAATAAGCCACAGGACGTATCGTCTGGGAAGCGGAGAGTGAGAGGTCCGCATCGCTGGAAGGACAGACTTTGGGAGCTTAATTGTGGCATTTTAGGTCTTTTACTGGCTCAGGGGCTCGCATTCTTCATCACACAGGCGCTGAAGACCGCATGTGGCAAACCGAGACCCGATCTCATCGACCGTTGTCAACCACGCGCTGGCAGCAAGGACCTTTTCCCAGGATTGTCGAACTCAACGATTTGCACAGGTGACCCCGCATTGTTAACAGATGGGTTTCGGTCGTGGCCGTCCGGTATGCAATAAGATCTGACACTGCATTTCAGAGTCCCACATGCTAACCTCGATAAATCTAGGCCACAGTAGTTGTGCGTATACCCCATTTGCTTGCAGTTCACCGGGGTATTTCCCATCACTAACACCTTCCAACCACTAGCCTCCTTCGCCGGTCTCGTTTACACATCGCTCTGGTTAGGCGGAAAGCTGCATATAATGGACAATCGTGGTGAGGCCTGGAAGGCCCTTCTCGTCATGGTTCCTCTGCTAGCAGCAAGTCTCGTGGCGGTATCGCGTATCATGGATGCGCGCCACCACCCCTTCGACGTGATCACGGGGTCGATGCTTGGGGTCGCCTGCGGTTTTGTCGCATATCGCCAGTATTTCCCACCCCTCAGTGAACCTTGGCGCAAGGGTCGCGCCTACCCAATCCGAACCTGGGGGTCGGATCCTGTAGGACCCGATGCCGTTCGCCTTACCAGCATCAAGGGCGATAGCTCGACTGCTCTTCACAACGCCGAAGAAGAGCCCATGGGCCAAGGTATGCCCAGCTCGGAACAAGCCAGACCCGACGCATCTACCTATCTTCATGCCTCCAACTCATACGTATCGGATGATTTCAATCGCCGTTCACACGACCAGGATGCTGATGGCGGTGTTTGGTCGTCGAGCGAGGACGACGTTACCAACGGATATCAGATGCGACAAGGTCATACTATGGGGCAAAATCCCGGTGCCGGTAACCATGCACCTCAATATGACCCCAGCCATGCGTATGTGTCTCAAACACAGTCGCTGGCGGCTAATGCGGAAATCCACATTCCTGATCCGATGGTGGGTCCGGGGCGTCCGTTGATGGACCTGCCCGGCCAGGCCATGTGAAGATGAATGGATGGGGTTTTTGATGATTGCAGTCTACAACATATTTCAGAGCGGGAATTGCCCAGCTTCTTTGCTCATGATTTGATCAAGCCATAGATAATTGCCATAGATAATTGCGGTGCCTGGTGATGTAACTCTGTGTTGGTACGAGTATGAGTATTTTGGCATAGAAAACCAAATAATCTGCCTGTGTTGCCATCGAGACCCAGCACAAATTGAACATTTAATAACAGTCCTCTATCTCGTGAAGCACAAGTCTTAATCTGTACGGAGTACTCCGTACAATTTGCCAGTATCATCCAGTGCAGGGTTCGTAGGGTCTCCACTTAAAATGTGGTTGGCTTGACAACGAGCAGCTATATTCTCATACAACATACCTAACCTATCCGGGGGAATACGGAGTAACCAAACACAAGAGACAGTTTCCAAAGAGACGGCTCATGCAAGTCCCTACAACATAGACTAATCAGTATGCAAAAAGCGTCGAGGGACTCGGGTTACCCCAGCCACCGATATCGTACATTGTGAGTCGCCCAGCCTCCTCAGCCCAACATGACTCTGAACATTAATTTTGTTTTTTTTTAATTTCCCTTCTTATTTGTGTCTTTTTTCTATTTTCCTTACTTTCTCTTCTGTATTCCTTTGCATCTTCTAGATCGTGCATCCTGCACTATAATCTCAACTGCCTGTGTTTTTTTTTTTTTCTTCTCTCTCGAGCTTGTGTAGCCCTGATCTTGTCACTGTACCTCGGGCATACCCCAAACACATCGGGACAGTTGCACATTCCAAAGATCTGAAACCCAATCTCTCTGGGAACCGCAGAGATGTTTGGCAGCGTCTTCTTCATATTCAACCGCCTGGTTGAAATCGTCTTCCTGATCCCAATCATTGGCATGCTGGCATGTCCATCAACTAGTCCGATCAGCAAGGCCCCTCTCGCTAACGATTTCTCCGAAACTAGGCCTACTTCGTTAACGGCTACCTGAAAGCAAACCAGCTGACCCCACCATACATCCTGGTCCTCTTCATCGTCAGCGTAGTCGCCGTCTTCTGGGCCATCGACACGCTCATCCGCTTCACAACAACAAAGCGATCCGCAATCTTCGTCGCATTCGTGGACCTGATCTTCTTCGGCGCCTTTATTGCATCCGTCTACCAGCTGCGCTTTATCGCCAACGCCGACTGTGCTAGCTGGAATGGCGGTACCGTCTGGATCTCTCTGGGTCCATTCGGTTACTACGGCCAGCGCACAGAAAATCCGTTATCACTGCACATCAACAAGACTTGCGCCATGCTGAAGGCCTCCTTCGCACTTGGTATCATGGAAACGGCATTCTTCTTCTGGACTGCGCTGATTGCGCTGTTCATGCACCGCTCGTATACTCCGACTGTTGTGAAGGAGACAACAACTGTTCGAAGGCGCAGCCATTCCAGTCGTCGTGGTCATGGTTCTGGATCGCACTCGCGCCATCGCAGCTCCAGTCGCAGACCGGCGCCTTATGTCGTTTGATTCTGTCTTATATGATCTCTTTTTCTTTCCTTTTACGCGAGGTACTTCTCATGATTTTATGAAGAACACATGCCCTAATGAGATACGGATTGGGAAATTTTCTTTGGATGAGTTGATACCAGAACAATTGTTCAATTGCAGCAATGCGTATCACATTCGGATTTTTGTTGTATGTGCTGGAAAGATGGCCATTTCGGGCATTTGAGACTGCGGTCTTGATCTCTTTCCATAAGATTGTTTAGTTTTGCATTTCTAGCACAGTTATGATCAACCCATCATGTCCGATTTGTATTTCTGCATATTCGGTCATATCGCCATGCTGTGAAACGCCGCCGCTTAGAAAAATCTCAAGATACTGGATGTAGAAACTTATTTGTAGAAAGCATGTCCCGAGACCATCCTTTTTCTGGTAACTTTCTTGTACTTGGCGGATCCAATAACAACAGACAATGTGAAAGTCTCCTGTAAGCTTCGACTTGCGAATTTGCAACTTGTGATTAGGGTTACATGACTATAACGGTGAAGAAACAACTCGGCAGTTCATCTCTGGAACCCTCCAACGGTTCCAAAGGGCAAACTGCCTTTAGTCACGCTAAATCAAAGGGTCGAGGATTTTTAAAGCAATTTGCCATTAGACCAGATAGTAGTAAACCGTCAATCTTCTCACTGCCTTCCAACGAATAACACTGGCATGTTAAACTAATTTTTAATCTACGTCTAGATCTCCCTAGGAGAGTATGCCCCTGTAATTGCTATGGTGTGTCGGATTAGACAATCACTGCTAGAATCGTTGCAAGGCTCTTAAATCATGTTGGCTAATGCATTTGCAGTGCGCTGAAAATGTTCAAGGGAGACACATGGTAGAGGGAGAGTCCAGTCGGTGATTGAACTATATAAAACCAACCCTAACTTTGTCCGAAATCGGTGCGCATGGGGTAAACTTATATGCCTACTCATAAGACAATCTGGTCCAGATATCCAAGGCCCTATAGTTGATTCGGTACGGGATCAACAGCCGTGTACCTTGTAAATTCAAGAAAAGTTCCCAACTACAGATGGACTTGATTCCCACTGATGAGACTATTAAAATTCCAAGCATCCTTTTTGGCACATATCAATCCATTCTTGTAAGCTGTATAGTTTGACTGCATGTTTTGCCAAATTTACAACGTTCATTTCAACACATTCTCCTATTTTTGATCCCAGATCCGAGGACTAGAACTTTCAATTTCGATCCATTGACCTGACAAACTACATAGCAAGTCATCCTGCCAGACATGCACATGGTTCTCCCCTCCCCCATACCTCCTAAATATGCAAATGTCTACAAAAATTGAAACTAGCATTCTGAAGTGCATAGAATAGATATTTATAGACCACTGACCAATGATTGGTGGGTCTTCGGAGCTGGGCCGAGGTGGGTTTGTCATGCCAGGCTGGTCTTCTGTGTCATGCAACATACGAGTGACTCAACCGCACTGTACACAGGCACTTCCCAGCGGCATTGAAGTAGAGACCAACATGGCTACAGAGGGGGAGTTTGTAACTGTGAAGGCATTCTTGCCCTCAGTCCCACTTCCCGCAAATAGCGAGCGGCCAGCAATAACAACGGACCGCTTACTCCTCCGCGCCCTCCAACCAACCGACTTGGAAGCATTACATGTCTTGCGCACACAAGAAGAAGTCATGAAATGGACAAAGGCTCGATGTATCGACGAAAGCATTGAGAAGACCAAATCCAAACTGGATCCTTTCCTGCCACCAAACGATCTTATCACCGCCAACTGCGCCATCTGCCTAAAGGAAACGGGCGAGTTTATCGGCATTGGCGGCTGTCATCTCTATCCGTCAAGTCATGGGTGGCCTGAGATTGGATACATGCTTCGGACAGACGCTTGGGGGAAAGGCATTGCAACGGAGTTCTTGAACGCCTGGCTACGGTTTTGGTCTGATTTACCTCGGACAAAGCGGGAGATCCGAGTTCGGAAAGAAATGGTCGTCGGGGAAGGAGAAGTGGATGAGCACCTTATTGCTGTCACAGAAGCAAGCAATAACGGAAGCCAGAGGGTACTGTTGAAATGCGGGTTTGAGCGATTCCACGAGTTTGCCGAGGTGGACGATACCAACACCGTGCATCTGGTTGCTTTCCGTTTTCTTCCACGGCGATAGATCTCGCTGTAATCTCTCTGTACGCAAAGGATGAGAAAGCATTCTTGAACACACACACCTGATCACACTATTGTAGGGTTGTGTGCAAATGACCAAAAGAATAGATCGTCTCGACTCAGCTGCGCCTATGTACAATCTGTCAACCCCGGGCCCACCTCAGTTCAAATTTCTCCGGGTGTCTCCCTGACGTTGCACATCTTCTGATATCAACAAGCTTATTTTCCCCCTGGGCGTACATATTCCATTGACGGTGATGCAGGAGCAAGTGACACAAGTTAAGCCGAAGAACTATCGGGACCGAGAACCTAGCCGTTCTCTGGTATAGATCTGGGGCTGCGATCTCTGTTTCTGTGGGTTCCCGTCTTTTGGCGAGCCGACAACTTCATGGCACCTGAACAACGTACCTTTGTACAGTCGCAGCAGTTGCAGTAGTCGCTGGAGCAACTTTGCTCGTTAGGGGCAAGTCCATGCCGGATAAGGGCTATCAACCGCCTCGCACATTCATTTACCCATACTTTATCATTCCGATTTGACAGTTTGTGATCAGCCTGTTGGAAAAGCACCAGGATCTTTGTTGGTCTGGGAGCTTGCCATGTATCAAAATTTGCACTGGGCTTTGGTCGTGCTCTTGCGGAGTTGGCAATTGATGGGAAGGGTATGGAGGGTCTTTCGAGGTTTGGAATTCTGAATGATGCTATTGCTACTAGCAAACTGTAGAATCATTTGACCATCTATGATGTTTCAAACCCAAGCCTGTGAAGAACTTACAGGGGGTTGGTGTTTTCATCAAGGATAGCGCAAAATGCAGTGGCAGCATTCATCAGCGACCACAAGAGAAGTTAAGAACCATAGGGAAACCTAACATAGTCCTCTAAAGTGGGGGATTAGGCTATGTCATGGTATCAACATACTATGAAGCGCATGTAGGGTTGTGCAATTAGAACCGCCATCGCCCAGAAACTGACCAACGCTTGAATGATTAGCACAGTTCAACATATGCAGCGAACACCATCTTTCCTAGGCTCCTCTGAATTGACCCAACAGGTTTTGTTCCAGCTCACAGATATAAAACTAGCCCTCCTCTCTTCCTCCCTCTATAGACCATCCCCGGGGCTTTTATTTACTAAGCTCATATGTACAACATCTGAATTTCTTTTTCGGTGTCACTAGCGCGGCAAATCGAACCTTCGAACTTTCAGATACAACCCAGAGGCGTCTTTGACCGAAACTCCAAGCCTTGGGTGCAAAAGAGCAGATCGTTCACGGATTCCGCAACTAGCTCACTGATTATGCCGTCCTCCTTAATTGGAGAAAGAAGGGGGACAATTTATTCATATACACACAAACGATCTCCCAGTAAGGTTCAATCTTTTTCCCTGCACTCCAAAACCACAACTAAGATAGCCCATCTGAGAAGTCTTAGCACTTTCACTATTAGAGCACAGATAGCTGGCAGTACTCCCAGCATGCGGGCGAACCTTGGCTACCTTCACAAGCCTCGCTCAGTCCACCATGTCCTGCTACACAGAATATGGGAGATAACTACCTCACGCTGAGAGACTCGACGCTCAGGCCTCAAGCAGCTTGGCCAGAAGACAAAACTTGACAAAGGAGTCAGCGGTTTCGACGCACGTCCTGTCACGGGCTTTGTATACGGATCTTTATTGACATGATGGACTCAGCCCTCATTTCTTTATCATCTATCATATATCCGAGGTTGCAAAACATGTCGTGTTCATTGTTGCCCTGTAAAAATTCATCCGTGTCAACTTCTCCAATAGACCCTTCGTGGCTCAAGACGCTGAGAAGCATCTATGAATGCGATGACTTTGATCGACATGCAAATCCTCAGGTTGGCTTGCCGTCTGAAGCTATCACTTGTCGCTATAGCACTGTTTTCCGAAGGCATAGTTCGCCCAGCACTTGGCTTCCAACTACACAACAAAGATCACCGGAGGCTTAGGCCTTTAAAGAGGTTGTTACTGATGCATCGTCTCTCATCGCAGCCTGGAATCAAGTAGACCAAAAATGACTCAACATTGTTAATACATATCTCAACACCAAGACCTGGAATCATCTATACAGTACAGAGTCCCGTCGTTTCAATGCAATCGAACGGACACTAAAAGGAAAAACAAAATGCAATCAGACAGAAGACACAAGGCGCATCGTCTTAATTCTTCTGCCCCTCACCGCCAGGCGCCAGACCCGTAAAGGGATCCAGACGCAGCTCTTGAGCCGTGATGGGAGTGTAGGAGGTCCGACCCTCCCGTGCCATCTTCAACCGACGCAACTGACCCGCCTCACCAGCACGGCCAAGAATTCCCGCAATAAGACATGTAGCCCGCAGACTATCATCGTTCGAGGGAATCGGGTAGGTGACACGCGTAGGATCCGCATCGGTATCAATAATCCCGATAGTAGGAACATTGTTAAGCCCACATTCATGCAGCAAGACAACGTTCTCAAGCGGGTTAAGACAAATCACCAGATCGGGCTTGAGCGAAGGGCGATCAGCGAGATCAGACTTGAAGTGAGGCAGTTCCTCGTCTAGCGCGTTGACAACCTTCGTCTCACAGTGGCCGAGAATCTGCTGGCCGTTCGTCAGAGAGCCTGGAATCCACCGCTCGAAGATGTGGTATCCCTTTGCCAGCGACGCCGCCTTGACAACGGCCCGCTTCTGACCTTTACGTGTACCGGCGAAGAGGATGAGTCCGCCGCGTGCGGCGACTTCCTCAACTACTTTTGCGGCGCGGCGGAGGTGAGCGGCTGTTATGTCCAGCGAGATGATGTGAACACCCTCGCGGATACCGAAGATGTACCGCGAGTTCTGTGGGTTCCAGCGGGAAGTCGAGTGGCCCAGGTGGGTTCCTGCTGCGAGCAACATTTCCAGGGAGATCTGGGAGGGCTTGGGAGGGTTGCGGATGACATTTTCGGGGTCGTAGGAGGATTTTACGGTTGTGCCGAGTTTTTTGAAATTGCTTCCTGGGGGAAGAAAAGAAAGCTAAGGTTAGCTGATGTGTTGGAGGAGTCTCCGAGAAGAAATTCACGGCTCACTTTGTGGCTCGTCTGATGTGAACTCTTGTTGTGCGGGTGTGGTGGCCTCAGATTGCGCCTGCACCATCTCAAAAAGGGGGTTTTCTGCCCGTGAGATCTCATCTCTGATAGATGCCTGCAATGTCTCCACTGGGGGTTGGGGCAATGTCGATTGGAAGCGACTCGAAACCGGGGCTCGTCGGCTCAGAGCAAGGACCTGGCGGCCTGTGTGATGTTGTTAGCAGGGACATTGAAATTGGTAGCGGCAGATGGAACACACTCACTCTGACGCATACAAAGCTTCCGTATAATCATTTTGGGGGTGCTAAATTGCAGATATGTTTGACAAGGAGGTTACTGGGGACATTGTCTGCTCGAACTTTTGTCGGGCTTGGCAGTTGGTGCCTGAGGCCTTGCGCTATTCCACTTGGGGTGGTGGTTCTGGCCTCTCCGCCTACTGCACTACTTCTCAGACAGCAGTGTCTACCATCATTACAATTGAATTTTTGATCTTTGGATTACTGTGTTCTCTAAAGATCGATCCAGCAAGGTAATCACGTTGTAATTCTGAAAATTGTGGTCAGATCACACAAAGGTGGTTTCCGATATCAACGCAGTTCTGTCATGGTACAAGCCACTTGAGGGCGAAGGAAAAAACAATCAGAAATAAAATTGATCTGGCGAACGAAAAAAAATGCATGCCGGCCCATTGCGATGATTAAAGCAAATAAGGAGATTCATGAAAACCGTGACATCAGGCAGAAAACGTAAGAGGAAAGTCCATCAGAGACCTTCTACTTCTTGAAGAAGCCACCGAGCTGATCCATCATGGAGCCGCCGCTGCCATTGTTGGAAGAAGGGCCGCCATATTGACCGTTGGGAGGTGGGGCCCCATACTGAGGAGGCGACTGGTTGTCGTGGTTGCGGTGCTTCTTGACGGCGTCTTCAGCGAGGCTACCAATAATAGCTCCACCGATTGTTCCAAGGAAACCGTGGTTGACCTTGTGGCCAGCGAAGCCACCGGCGGCACCACCGGCGAGGGCGCCGGCAAGGCCACGCTCGCCTTCCTGGGCCTCACCCGGAGCACCCTGCTGTTGCTCGTAGCCACTATAACCTGTCAGCACATGATTCATAAAGTGAAAGGTGAGGGAAGCACATACCCTTGGCGGTTCTGGTCGTGCTGGCTGTAGCCTTGCTGCTGGTTTTGCTGATAGTAGTCGGAAGATCCACCCTGCTGCTGGCCGTAGCCTTGCTGCTGGTGTTGCTGGCCGGAGTAGTAGTCGGCAGAACCACCCTGCTGGCCGTAGCCTTGCTGCTGGCCGTAGCCCTGTTGAGGCTGGCCGTACTGTTGCTGTTGGTTGTAGCCCTGCTGATCACCGTAGCCTTGTTGGCCACCGTAGCCTTGCTGCTGGCCGTAGCCTTGCTGGCCATAACCTTGCTGGCCATAGCCCTGGTTGTACTGATCGTAGCCGGACATGATGTGATTTGAATTGGGTTGATGGAAGATTGATGGAAGATGGGAGTGAGAGAGTATAGTAAATGTGATGAGTGGTAAGTGATAAAGAGAAGTTAAGTGAGGGGCAACCTTTTATAAGAGGTGACTCCAAGTAACCACAGGGCTGACGGCAAGAACCCCACATGGCAAGCGAAAACTTACGGGGGCGCAGCGTTTAGTAAGCATCAGCCATTTCAGCCCTGTATATCTTGCGCACCTTGTGCATCTATGTTTTTACCGTAATTTAACTAGTTCTAACTTGAAAATCGAATCCCCCAGAACATTCACGGGTGCAGTCAGCCTGAATAGGTTGATTGCACCGCCACACTCCGCGCAACATCAGACCGGATTCACCTGTGGCTATGCCAGGCTGAGCCTCAGTTTAGGTACAAATTACCAAAGATCGCTCCCCAGAATAGATTACGCGGATCTCTCGGCTTCCACGGATCTTCCAGAATCTCTCCGCTACTCCGTACGGAGTACCGCACACTTCAGTCTGTATTGGACCATTTTTATTTGGCTGCCTACGCTAAGCCCCATTATTTCATTTCTGTACGATACCCCAAATACCAAAACGGAAAATTATTGCTACTCCGAAGTTTAGAAGGTGGCGTCATCCCGACATTCTCCTGACAACACATATCACGAGTTCCAGCTTTGTGACTCTTAGAAAGAATAGCGCCTAGAGCCAAGGTTATATATAGCTGGGTATCACCTATTAATGTTGGTGACCCATCAACATTCGCGAGCCCACACACCATTCGAGGTGTCAACGTATCCAATCGATCTCCCCAAAACAAGTCACATGTCATTGAAATCATGATCAAAATTTGTTAAAGTGACCAACCTTCACATGACGGCGAACCAGAAGAAGTAAGAATGTGTTAACGATTTTATCTTGAGAATATGCCACAGCACGCGATCCAGAACTACGGAAAAAAAAATAGGAACCTTGCCTGCAATAAATATTGATAACGGAAATCGTCATCAAATCACTTTTTGCCCTAGAGTAGGACCCCATCATAGCCCATCTCTTGATCCTGTGGACCACTCAGGTGATCTTATTTCCGGTGTGTTGAATGATAGATTATGATCGACGCATGACTACTTTAAAAATTTGAATAAAACATGGGATTTGATCGGATGACAATAGTTTAATCGATTCCCTAGGGTCCTTGTGTATATCCTACGTTGTACAGCGTGCTCCGTACACGATGCCCACTGCCGAGTGCGAGATGCCAAATTACATCTGAGATTTACCCCGAATTTACGGTCTTGATCATCGTCAGATCGGATTTTTCTGTTTCTAATCTACACTGCATCATATGTTATAAATGTGCTATAAAATGTGAACACATTGATCTCTCAAACATCACTACGGAGTACGGAGCACTCCGTACAAATATCTTTGAGATAATTTTCAATCCCGAGACGATCAATAGAGTGCAGTGGACATATAGAGTATGCTAGACCAATCAAATAGTCGAGTCATAGCACATCGACCGGGCGCACGTCTGCAGTTTGTCATAGCTCATCTGTGCTTCAGAGCTTTGCGCCCCTTTCAGCCCTGGCGCCCTTGCTGCTGGATGATCATTGGAATGCTGTCCGGCGATCCACTCTTTGCTTTTTTAATGTGTCAGCCCTTTTTTTTCCCCTCCACATTAGGAAAGGGATCATGACTGTCCTGCGATTGTGACTAGAGCTAATGGTACCCGATCGGCTTGGGCAAATTTCAAAAGAGGATTTTGCTTTTCCCACACTTTTCTAGTTATGCCTAGGGATCATCCTTCTTGATTATCCACTGCTCCTTTGTCCAGGCATTAGCTACTACACGCTTTGTATATGACCAGGCTATAGTTGTTCTGTGTGCCAAAAATGCTACTGCCATCGTTCCTCTCAGCTTTGTGCTTTTGTCTCGGCATCGCGTCCGCCAAATCACACCCAACGGTCTACATGATTCGACATGGCGAGAAGCCTCGGAATCCATACGACCATGGCTTGACCCCGGATGGGGTCAAGCGGGCACAGTGTCTGAGACATGTCTTCGGTCAAGACTCCAAGTACAACATTGGGCACATCATGGCGCCTCGGGTGGAGTGGGGTATGTTTATAACATTACTCGAGAGCAACCCAATGTCACAGTACCGAATTGAGGTGTTGGGATACTTGTTTTCATAGAATTTGCTGACGACATGCTTTCTGCCTGCAGACGGCGCACATGGACGTGCGTTTGAGACCGTTCTACCTCTTGCCAAAGATCTCGGTCTCACGGTTGACACACACTGCAGGCGCAACAAAGTGAAATGCGTGGCTAGGGCGATCAGATCGTATGGTGGACCGGGCAACATTTTGATTGCATGGCGGCACTCGACTATGGGCGGGATTGAGGAGGAGCTTGGTTCTTTAGAGCCTATTGAATATCCGGATGAGAGGTAGGTGATTGTATCTTTTGTGTCTTCTCGTTAGTAGAATTTTCCTGATGGAATTGCGGTTGTTCTCGTGAGTCGCAGACTTGTGACTCTTCAACAGAAACTCATATGTTTGTCTTGCGTTGTGCCCTAGCGCTGACTGTTTCAGATTCGACCTCATTTGGACAGATCCTTGGCCGTATGGGGATGTGAAGAGTATCAAAAGCGAGGAATGTCCTGGACTAGATGTCAGGACTGGCCTCGTAGATCAGGTTTGATGGAGAGATGGATGTCCGCTTTAGTTGTCATCGAATGCATGTTTATGGAGTGAATAAAACAATGCATAACCAATATGACGCACAATTAGGGAGTCATAGAAGAGAAATCCCGAGAAAAGCACAATTAAAAGGATGAATAGTGAATTGGAAGAATAAGGCAGAGGGAACAATTAACTGACCTTCAGGATCCTCTCTATCAATGCACGGATCAATCCAGCAAAATTGTTGTGTGAAGGCGGTGAATCAGCCGAAGCGGAGACAATTGTAGCGCCAAGATTTCTTTCCCCCAAATTTTTCGTTGCGCTTAACTGTCGAGCTTTCCCATCCAGAGTACGATTTCTGTTCACAGGAAACGATTATGGACGATATCGAGGTTTGTGCACTCGGATAATGCCCCGCAAGGATTGCGAGCTGACTGCCCTCAAGGAACGGCTGCGCAGCCATGCGCAGGCATTTGACGGTCTGCTGTCTTTGATCCCCGCCAAATACTATTATGGCGAAGAAGACACAAGTGTAGGTAGCCCTTGTTTCATTTCATAAGTCGACAGCTATAGTATTAGAGTCAGCTTGTGTTCTTGCCTTTATCGTTCACCCCGAAGATCTCTGTCTGACCACAATCCTCATTTTTAGGATCAATGGCAACGCAAAAAGCAAACCAAAGAACAAGCACGCGAGGCGAAGCGGGCGAAGCTAAACCCAGAAGCCGCCAAGACCGCCAAAGACGTGATGGATGAAAATGCACGCAAGCGAAAGCGGGAGGACGGCACCCTCGAGTCCGACTCGTCCGACGGAGAAATGGGCACAGAGCTGCCTAGGGAAGGACTGAACCGCGGAACCGCCAATATCAAGAAGCAAAAGCAGGTTGAGAAGACCGATAAGCCAGACGCTGCCAAGGCAGCTGAGGCTGAGGCAAGGAAAAAGCAAAAGGAAGAGAAGAAGGCCCAGAAGAAGGCCGCCCAAATGGAGAAAAAAAAGGCCAAGGATGCTGCCCGGAAGGAGAAATCTCAGCAGGGCAAAAAGCTGTCGACCATCCCAACTGAGGATTCGGAAAAATCTGCAACCAAGCCTAACGGCAATGCTGCCAAGGACACTGAAGCGTCCGAGGATGAGGAGGATGAAGACCACGAAGATGACGGTGTTGTTGAGAAAGGGTTCTCCATTGAGTTCAACGTCGAAGCGGAAACCCCTTCTTCTGCCCCCTCTATCACCGACTCTCCTAGCCTCGATGCTTCAAATTCGCAATCCGGCACCTCCTCAATTTCCTCAATCGTTCCTCCCTCCGCCTCCACCGAAGCCAAATCCTCAGAGCCCAAACCTCTCAAGCACACACCCGAAGAGCTGAAGCAGCGTCTACAGAAGCGTCTGGATGAGCTTCGGGCCAAGCGTCACGCTGATGGACTCAACGGCAAGCCTGCACGCAACCGTCAAGAGCTAATCGAAGCCCGCCGACAAAAGGCCGAGCAAAGAAAGGCACACAAGAAAGAATTGCGTGAAAAGGCAAAGATTGAGGAAGAAAAGAAGAACGACGAGGCCATGGCCCGCCGCTTCTCACCCGGTGGTTCTGGATCGCTCCTCGCCTCCCCCCGCTCTCCCGCCGAGTCCATCGGTTCCGCCAGCAACAACTTCTCCTTTGGCCGTGTGATGTTCACAGACGGCCAGCAGACAGATATCACTGGAACCAACGTGCGCGAAAAGCCGAAGACCAGTGGCGCCCGTGACCCGGCTTCCCAGCTCAAGGCTGTCGAGGCCAAGAAGGCCCGCCTCGAAGGGATGGACCCTGCCAAGCGTGCTGATGTTGAAGACAAGGACCTCTGGCTGAACGCCAAGAAGCGTGCTCACGGTGAGCGTGTCCGCGACGATACCTCTCTGCTGAAGAAGGCCCTCAAGCGCAAGGAGACTGCCAAGAAGAAGTCTGCGCGAGAGTGGAGGGACCGTATTGACACCGTCGCCAAGTCCAAGGAACAACGTCAAGCCAAGCGCGATGAGAACCTTCGCAAGCGCCGAGACGACAAGGGCACCAAGGGCGGCAAGAAGAAGTCCAGCAGCAGTGGAAAGAAGAAGGCTGCTCGTCCTGGATTCGAAGGCAGCTTCAAGGGTGGTGGCAAGAACAAATAAACAAGCTTTTATCTGGTGGCTTAATTTTATTTCGTTTTTCACTTGCTTTTTATATCAACCCGTCTTTTAGAATTTTTTTCTCTGCATACCCTTCAAACCGGTCTTTCTCTCATGGATATAAACATCCCTGAAATGAGATCGCACACAGAAGCTCCCGAACTGACAAAAAAAAGTGTTTTGAGACTTTGAACTGGGAAATATCCGTCCGGTGATCAAGGTGCCTGGTGTTTGCGTTTGTGTCTTTGGCGGCTTAGTCTGCCAATTAATGTCTATGCATGACAGCATCGGTAGCGATTTGAATTATCTGTGAATAAATTATCATGTTCTTATCGGGCTGTACATGTGTTCCTTTGTCCCTTATATATGCATACCTCAAGATTTCAAGATGTACTTCATGTAGATGTACTTCATGTGCACGAATAGCGGAAAAATATTCCGCGTAGATATAAGGTGATCCGATAGATTGAATTAACATTTACATGTATTGATAGAACCTTAATCAGAAGAAAAGAGCTGCTAGATTTCACAACATAGAACCTAAAAGAGACGAGGAAGCCAGTTTTCCAGGGAAAGACCTTTCCTTTGGGAATTGACTAGTACAAGATGATAACACAGTTGAGGGCAAGTTATGTACAGTGATGTGATGGGACTTAAATCTTTCTTGTTTTCAAGGCACTAGTAGTGCCTCTTGAGTGGATGGGTATTGCGACCAGCATCTTCGTGTCCACACATCTAACATCTGGAATAGATGTGGATTTGCCTGAAGATGCCAATCAGAGTGGAGGAAAATCGATTATCGGTAGGGAGCATCTGCACGAGCAGCAGCCGCAATCTCAGGCTCCCACTTGTCACCGTTGGAGAGGAGCTTCTCCTTGTTGTACAGAAGCTCCTCACGGGTCTCCGTGGCATACTCAGCGTTGGAAGCTTAGAAACGAGATATTAGCAAACAAGTCCGAAAGTCAATTAAGATGTAACCGGAGCGGGGTTAAACTCACTCTCAACGATGGCATCCACGGGGCAGCTCTCCTGGCAGTAGCCACAGTAAATACACTTGGTCATATCAATATCATAACGGGTCGTCCGGCGGCTTCCGTCCTCACGCTCCTCGGCCTCTATGGTAATAGCTTGGGCCGGGCAAATGGCCTCACAGAGCTTGCAAGCAATGCAGCGCTCTTCACCAGTGGGATACCGACGGAGGGCGTGTTCACCACGGAAACGGGGGGAAATAGGACCCTTCTCGAAGGGATAGTAGATGGTGTAACTGGAATGTGTCAACGCAATTAGTTGATTTATTTCGATGCCTTTGATACTGTATTGAGATCCGCGTCGCCGGCAAGATTGGGTGGGACAAGGACTTACGCTGGTCTGAAAAACTGCTCGAGCGCCACGTACATGCCGCGGAACATCTCTGCCAAAAGGAAGTATTTGCTTGCCTTGTCCAAGGCGGACTCAGTGTCCTGATCCCAGCGCTTAGGCGGGGGCAGGCGGAACCCGGCCTGAGGGGGTCCCGCTGGGGTTGCTGCGCGGTACGTCGAGGAAGAGAAGTTTGCGGTTGAGCCCATCAATCCGAACGGGGTCGGCCGACGGTAGGCAATTAGCCTCGCGACCGAGCGGGTGGCGGCCATATTTTTGGAGAGGAGAGTGAGGTTGGATATATGGGGGAATCGAGGTTCAATTGGAGGTGGAAGGGGAGCAAGTCTCAGGTTGTGGTGATTTGCAGGTTTCGGGCTTAGGTCATTCCTTTCTGTCGGGCGTTGATTGGCCCGCAGGATTTTGCTGGGCGCGACCTCACATCTTTCCTCTTCTGCGGCAGTCGTCTTCCCCCAATCTCTACCCTTCTGCTCTCCACCATCTCTTTTTAATACTTTAGATCTTTTCAGCCTTTGCGCTTGTCTGATCAACTTATTTCATCATGTTCCGCTCCGCCATTGTTCGTTCCTTGAAGGCTTCCGCCCCTCGTGTCATCAAGACCCCGGCTCCCTTCCACATCCGCAGCTCTCCCATTGCTGCTCAGGTCCCTCAATTCACTCCCTGCTTCGCTCAGGGTGTCCGCCTTTACTCCGCTCCTGCTGGTCTGAGCAAGAATGAGGCCGAGGGCCGGATAGTCAACCTGCTCAAGAACTTCGACAAGGTGCGTCATGTCATTCTCCCCGGGGAATCCCGCTATCTATCAGCTTTAGATGACAAACAAAATGCTAACTGAAATTGGTTCATGTCTAGGTCTCCGATGCTAGCAAGGTCGGTGATTTACTCTCGGATGCACAGTCGTGATCTTTATATCTCTATGAGCTATGGGAAAGGCGACCGAAAGCATTCATCAACTAATTACGTTTGACCCGCAGATTAACGGCGCTTCCCACTTCTCGAATGACCTTGGTCTGGACAGCCTGGACACCGTCGAGGTTGTGATGGCTATTGAGGAGGTACGCGCCCGCTTTCCCTCGGAAAGACATCAACCATAAATTATACGATGGACATCTAACTGTTTCAACAGGAGTTCAGCATTGAGATCCCTGACAAGGAGGCCGACCAGATCCACAGCGGTACGTTAGGACTTGAGGACTTCGGTGAAGTTCATGAATCAGAGCTGACAGGAATATTTCGCATAGTTGACAAGGCTGTTGAATACATCCTGGCCCAGCCCGATGGTTTGTGTATCCTATAACATCTCTTCTCCTAACAATCGCTGACTTCTTCACAGCCCACTAAATACTTAATTTGAAAACTTGGGATCGGTTGGAGAATCGGATAGAAAAAGAATTGGGATGTTGGCATCAGTGGGGTTTGCTGGACACAGTGGCCCTTAACCGACATGCTTTTTTGTATGCTGAATACATGCCACCGGCTTTTCTTTCCTACATCGTGTATATCATATGAGTGCAATTTATGCAATTTTGAAGCAGCATTGCTACCATATGGTGATATTCAGCAAATGCGTCTGGATTTTTTTGGTACAAGCTTTCAGCTCAATGGCCCATGGAGCCATATTTCTGACAAACACATATATTACATGTGGTAGAAGTTACCTCTGGGTATCATACGAATGTTAATAAAGGCTTGGATATAGTCAACTGGTGCTAGTAGAGTTTGCTTAATTTCAATATGAACAAAAGGATGAAGTACATGAGCACATCGAAACGGAATAACAGATTGTAGATATATGCCAAGTGAACTATATTGCTAATTAAAAAAATGTAGAGCCGCAAAAAAGATTCCTAAGCGGGAGATTACAATCACAATGTCTTTTGACGGGCGTTTAAGCACCCGCAGATACTCAAAGAGTCACATCACCGAACTAGCTTAATTTGAACTTCACCCTTTTCACAACTTCGTTCATTGCAGTCGCCTATCTCTCTCGCATTTAGGCGGGTTTAGTTCAACCTACCCGACACTGCATCGGTTTGGCTAGCCTACTCGGTCCCTGGTTTCCCCTGACACCGAAGGTCCCACTTCAACCGCAGACTCTCAGTCTCAACAGTCTCTTTCAACATCTCATCAACCCAGACCATTTAAATCACCGGCACATCGATCGGAAAGCATTTGGTCATATCCGGCCATCTTTCTCTCCTTCTTTTTTTGACCCCCGACGCCAATCCGACTCGATCTCATGGCCTCAGCAGCCGGGGGCTTGACTCGCCGCAGAGGCGCCGGTCGAGTCGCTGGGGCAGACGAACAAGATGACAGTCGAGTGTCATCGCCAATCTCCCGAAATGGCTCTGCGATGGATACCCGTGGACCGGAGACGTCGTTTACCAGTGCAGAGAATGGCCACAAGATCGCGTTCGACCCCCGCGACATCAGCGAAAACGAGGAACGGGGCAAGCAGCCCAAATTGACTCTGATGGAAGATATCTTGCTGCTGGGTCTGAAGGATAAACAGGTGGGTCTTCGTTGATACTGTCTCATCCCCGAAATCGTTCGATATGTGGCTCCGATCGCTGACCTCGCGCCCGCACCGCAATAGGGTTATCTGTCTTTCTGGAACGAAAACATATCATACGCCCTGCGAGGGTGTATCGTCATTGAGCTCGCGCTCCGCGGCCGTATAAGCATGCAGAAGGATTCGTCGCGGCGACGTTTCCCTCTGGCCGACCGCATCATCGAGGTCATCGACGACACATTAACCGGGGAGGTCTTGCTGGACGAGACACTGAAGATGATGAAGTCAAGCGAGAAGATGAGCGTTAACTCATGGATTGATTTGTTGAGTGGTGAGATTAGCCTGGAGCGGAAATCTTGGTTGCGACATGCTGACTGGGGTTGTTTGTAGGCGAAACCTGGAATTTGATGAAGATCGGATATCAATTGAAGCAAGTCCGGGAACGACTGGCCAAAGGTCTTGTGGACAAGGGCATTCTCCGGACCGAAAAGCGCAACTTCCTTCTCTTCGACATGGCGACGCATCCCGTGGCCGACGGCGGCGCGAAAGACGAGCTCCATCGACGAGTGCGCAACATCTGCACCAACCGCACTGTGATTATCCCTCCTAGCCCATGGCTCCCCGAAGATGCCGAATACCGATACCTTCGCTCAATCTCCATGGTCTGCGCCGCATACGCCGCCAATGTTCTCGAGAACGCTTTGGTCACCATGAGCCACGAGGCTCGCGAGAGAGCTTTCGCGCAGGTGGATGAATTGCTGGCAGAGTATTCGCAATGGCCGTTTGGACGGAAGGCAGGAGGCTCGCAGGCGATTGGAGCCAACTTGGCTCAAGCCGTCAATGAAGAGATCAATCGAAACAAGGATAAAGAGCTTCAGATGGAGGTAAGCTACACCTCATGCTTGAAACACTTGACTGGTGCTACGTGCTTATCAACAAACAGATTGTCGCCGCATGCCTGAGCGTTTTTACCAGACTTGATTCTTTACTTTAACGGAGGTACCGCGTAATACACTTGTCTTTTGTTCTTCACGACTTCTCCTTTCTCGCCTTGCACCTCGGCCATGAAACTCCGGTTTCTTCTTTTTCATGTAGTTTGATCTTGTGGGTTGGGGCAAAGCGTCGGTTTCTTTCTTTCATTTTTTCCCTCTCATATGAAATCATGGGTCAAAACTTATGCTTAAATGGGATATTTCCTTAACTTTGATTTACTTTACTCCTTGTTCGTTCTCTTCTTTTCTTGAACTTGGCTTTTGGTGGCATCGCGACAGTGGTCTTTGACCTAACCAAGTAAGTGGCCCATTATTTTCAAATTGATATACACAACTCTAGGTTGCTTTCCTCGGCATTGCTTCTTCCTACAATTTGCTTTTGTGATATCTTTGCGTCTGATCAATGAACATGACAATCTAAGTATAGGCAACATTGTTAACCCTAACAACTACCATCCCACCACGACGACTCCCCGCTGTTCCAGCAGCCCCAGCAGCCAAAAGATCTGTCGCACGCGCAAGATCCACAATAGTAATTTCCTTGTCACGGATCAGACCCTCCTCCACCAACTCCGCAATCCGCTCCATAGCCGGTCCATCAGGGTTAACAGGCACAAACCGACTTTTAATCCCACGCTTCCTCTCGCCCAGCAAATCGTTCTCAGGAACAAGCGGAGACTGCTGCGCAACCCGGCCATCCACAACAGTCAAGACAGCCCCGTAGTCCTTGACGACACCCGCAGCATGAGCCGCCCGGAATATCTCCCCGCCAGCACAGTCGAGCACGATATCAACCGGCTGCCAGCGACGCGCGCGGAACACTTTCTCGATATTACACTCGTCCGGCGATGGAAGATGCGGGATGATCACTATCTCGTCCACCTCCCAGTCCCTCTCGATGATGTCGGCTTCGACTTGCGTACAGGTTACACAGATCCACGGCCGGACCGGCATGGGGAAGAGCGAATCTGCTCGCAGAATCTGTACCGCGATACGGCCGATGTCGTTGTCGCGAGCATTGGTGACGAGGACTCGGATCTTGGGCATTTTTTGCTTCCCGTTGCCGTTGGAGTTAGTGCTGCCAATTATACTGTCTATTAGGCTGCCGCGTCGTCCAGGGCTAGCGTTGCCGGTGACTAGGTCGACCAGGCTGCCACGGCGGGTATTGCCAATGCTACTGGCATTGGTAGTGGGGTTGACTGTGCTAGCAGCGCGAGTGGCTGGAGCATCGGTATTCCCTTTGATCAGGCTGATTAAACTGTTGCGGCGGACAGTGCTCTTGGGATTGGGGTCAATTGTACTGGCAGCGCGAGGGATAGTTTTTTTGCCACTGGGATTCCCGCTAACGAGACTGATTAGGCTCTCGCGACGCACGTTCTTAGGACTAGGAGCGGGATTGGCCGCTCTGGCAGCAGGGGGGATGTTGTCAACATCACCACCATTTCCACTGACGGTTCCATTGTCATTGCCGTTGAGTGCGGAGCCGCGGCGATTCCACTGCCAAATCCAACGCCCGTTCCCAGCTCCGGTGCCGGTGCCACTGGTAGCATCATTTAGCATGCCGCCGTTCCCAGCGATTGTGCTTTTGCGGTGTCCGTAGCCATAATCTTTGCTACCAAGTACGGACTCACGGCGTTGACGCTGCCACAGCCACCGGCCCATCCCATTCCCACCACTCCCAAACTCGTCATCCACCTCCCTCAGCCCGCCAGGCACATCGGGATCAAGCCCGGCATACCGAAAAAGCGCCTGCCAAGCCGTTAATGCCGGCAACGCAAGCGCCGCCGCCCCAGCAACAGTGATATTATCCGGTTTCAGCGCTAGCTCGCCTTCAGTCGCAACTGCATAGTCTGCAGCTCCGCCGTCACGTGTATAACTTACCACGCCGAAGACTATATCGCCCATTTTGAATCTCGGGCCTTCCTCTTGCTCATCGTCTTCGCGCGGCGTGCTGATGACTGTCCCGCAGAGACTGTGGAGTGGGATCTGCGGCGTGGTGTTTGGGGGGTTGAGGAGTCTGGCAAGACGGATCTCGTCGTGGCAGAAGGCTGCTGTGGTGATCTTCAGCAGGTATTGCTGAGAGGAGGGCTGTGGGGTTGGGAAGCCGGCGTCAAAGACGAGGTTTGTTCCTGTCTGGCGAATGACGCTTGTGCTCGTGTCAGGTGAGAGGGCTTCGCTGATTTCTCCTTCTGGGATTCCGTCCGGTGTGTCGGTGTCTAATCCGTCTGGGGTGTAATAGAGGGCTCGCATCGACAGTGGCGTGAAGGGTGAGTCGTTCAGCATTGATGAGGTGGGCTTCGCGGGATGTGAACTGGGCTTCTTGGCGTCTGAGGTGCCTCTTGTGGCCTCTGACGTGTGCGGTGAGGGTCCAGATGGCTTTTGGGTCTCTGGGGTGCGTGCTGGGGGCTCCGGTGTATCCTTTGGGGGCTCGTGTTCCACGATGGGTTGCGTGGGGGGTATGTCTGACTGCATACGGTCATTGAGATCTTGATTCATCTCGTTAAATCAGAGAGCCTTTGAGACTTTCCAATGGGTTGCAAGGAAGTTGAGGTTCCGGAAGTCGTGTCTTCTCTTTTGCCATCTCACGTCTATAGATCGGAGACTATTCCCTAATCTTGACGTATGTAGGTAAGGCCTAGGTCAACATCGCCACTTGATAATCCCGATAAATTCCATTGCAATGAGCAGCAATGAGCAGCAATAAGCAGTAGTTTTATTTGATGTTTCGATTTGAATTGAATTGACATGGAGATATAGCGTACAAAGTCTGTGGTTCATCGAAGGTGGATAATGCGAAGGAATGCCCAAACCAATGGCAACAGTGGAAAGAGATTGTCAAGGGTGAAAGAAACCGTAAACAAAATAGCTAATTTCAAATCATTCATCTTGCTTGATTGAGTCGGATAATTTGCAAGCTAAATCCCATCTATGTGAATATCTAGCCCCAATGACTGACTTGGGCATCCCCGTTCAGGGCTTGCGCTTTTATAGACCGTTGCTTGCCCTACATCTCCAAGGCACAACCTTTGGTGTCTACTTGCCCTCCGTATCGCCTGGACCCGACGTGCCATTCTGATCGGTCAATTTAGGCGATGACTTGTTTTTGAGTCCTTGGCTTAATCCGATCTCTATCCTTTTCTTTACGATGGCACCTGTATTCGCATGTGACCGAATGTCACGATTGCGTGGGAAAAAAAAAAACACAGCGTTCAAAATAGCCATTTCAATCAAATCTTTCCAGAGTATAATACATCTACAACACCTGGTCCTCCATACCGAGCCCATCAATAAAATTATACAACTCCTTCGGATCCTCAAAGACCGTCCAAATATGCGATGGCACAGACTCAAACGCCTTTTCAAACCTCTCCGGTGCATTCTTCTCTTCTATATGCGCCACATCCCTAACCTTGCGAATGATTATAGCATGAATCCACTCGGGATACCGACTATACATCTCCGCATAGGCCTCTGGATCCTGCTGTGTCGAGTCCCCTATGCAGAGCACCCTCCGACGCGGGAACCACCCTCTAATTTTCTCCATCCGATCAACCTTGTATTCCTGCGTCTTCTCCGTGAACGACTTGATAAGCCCCGTGATATCCATCCACGAATAATCACGAAGCACCAATGTCCCCGGACTGTAGTATTCATCCAGGAAGTCATGCAGGAAAGGATAAAGATTGTACGGCGACGCGGAGAGATAAAACCATGCAGGAAGTAGCTCGGCATGAACATATCTATAGAGCTCCGGCATGCCAGCGATGGGCTCAGGGATATCCGCAAACGTAGTGCGAATCATCCCCGTCGGCTCAAGCGTCATAGTGTGCTTGATGGTATCGTCAACGTCCGAGACAACCAGCCAGCCCTCAGGCGCAGCAAAAGTCGTGTGCATCGACACAGCCTCGTCACCGAAATTCTGCAGCCGCGGTCGCACAACAGCCCCGTCGTAAATCTTAACTTGGCCCATGTCGACTGTCTGGCTGACAATGCCATAGCGATCGGACGGGCCGAGTCCGTGCGACTGCGCCGGCCGGGATAGGGGTACCTGTAGCGTGACCGTGCACGCCGGTGAGACCTGGTTGAGAAAAGGTTGAACGCGCTCTGTGATGCGTCGGCGTGCTTCGTCGTCGATGCCCATCTCGCCGTCAAGCCCGATGTGGTCGGCGATCGCAGCGACGAGGTTTCCCGCGTCCTTTCGGCCTCCTGTTTCAAAGATACAAGCGACTACCTCGGCGTGCCAGCACAGCGGGTTCTCGTCTGTCTCCTCATTCACCGGTTGGTACGCAGTGTTGTCTAGCAGCCATACGGTGTGCTCGCGTGGGTCTGCTGGGCGTACGAGGGGGTTTTTAGGACCAAGGAAGGACGAGAAGAAATTAATCAAGGTTGAACCGCGTTTTTCTTGTGCTGGTGTTGGAGATTTGGAAGTTGAAACCTCATGGACCTCCTTTCGGGCCTCTGCGACCGACAACTCGTCTGCTTTGCGGTGCGGCATGATGCGCCCGACTTGGCTTCTACTTTCAAAGTTGAAGCGTTTTCTATCAAAAAAAGAGTAGGAGAATCAGTCCGGAGACAAATCCCCGAAAAGCACATGTCAGGGCACAAAGATGCAAAAAATAATTCAAGACACTCATCAGGGGAGAGAGGATCATATAGCCGTTAGTTGATCTAGCGTTAGTGTCATCCTGTGCTCTTCAGCCAAGAGCCTCTATTCCCCACCTGATCTTTTCTGCCTTTTTCAGGCACTTGTACTCATCTTGATGTCACAATTGAAAGCGAAGACACGTCATTTAGGGTGACAGGGGCCCATTTCGGTGGTTGGTTAGGTCAGGCGAAGCACCAGTGGGGGGGGCTTGGCAGTAGGGCTGATCTCCCGATGAGGTTGACGAACCTGATGAACATGAACCTGGTGCATTGAATTTTGGGATTTTTTAACCGAGTGAGACTCCGAAGTACAGCCTCGATGCGCTTTGGGGGAGGGGGGGGGTTGAAGTTTTGAAGTTTTTTCCTGTGATGTGAGCAGGTGATCAAATTTCTCTGCAGATTCTTCACGATATCTCATTTGAGATTATACGGAGGTTTAGAGCATGAATACTCTACGGCGACTGGAGGATAGCTTACAATTTATAATAATTTCCACCATGTATCAAGTCTATATTTAGTGACCATCCGGTTAACTTGTATGAAATGTACAATATCCAGGCGTGTCAGATCAATCCTGCAACGGGTATCCGTATCCAACCAACATAGCAGGCTCATCAATGCTATGATGCTGATAACTGCAAACCGGAAAAAGGTTAACTGCCAGGCCAGTAAAGTGGGATGAAAAAATTACCTCAGGACGCCAACGGCGCCAGGGTCGAGCATCAGAGAAAGAGGGAACTCCATAGGATATCCCAACCAGCGCTTGGTAAAGGCACGAAGTAAATGTCCGTGTGCAACCAGCAGGATATCAGAAGGGTTCTCTCCGTGCATGTTGTCTTTGTGGATTGTGCGAATCTCATGAATGAGATTGTCGAGACGATCCGTCACTTCTTGCGCAGACCTGCATTGGCCTAGTTAAATTTCTCGATCATAGGCGATTGGACATGAACACCTCAAAAAGGAAAGGGGGGGGGGGAGGTTGACCAAAAAAAAAAAGACTTACTCTCCATTCTCGCAGCCGTCTCTCCAGATATCCCACTCGCTCTCGGTATCCAGACCGTGCTCCTTTCTCAAGGCCCGGATTTGTTTAGTCAATAAACCTTCATACAATCCGTAGTCCCATTCGGCTAATCTGTCTGTCTCAGAGACCCTCTGTGTATCTTTGAGCACCTGTTTATCGGCATCAGAGAAAGCAATCTCAAAGGTCTGCATCGCTCGCCTGCGAGGACTGATGTAGACATGGGCAAGTTTGGCCGGGTCAATCAATCGACCAGATCCGACAATCATCTTGCCAGATGCAGTGACCTGGTTAACACCATCTTGGGTGAGCTCAAGCTCGGTGATTCCGGTGTACCGTCCGTTCTTGGACCATTCCGTCTGTCCTGGAATCTAGTTAGACTATACAAAGCAACACAGCAGAAAACATTGACGGGTTGGAAATTACCGTGTCGGTAGAGGAAGACACGGGGTGTGCCGGAGTCTTTATCGGGCATGTTTGTACTCTGTTTTCCCAGGGTAGTCCAAGGGGGGTGGTTGAAAGTGGATTGCGGGAAGTGGGAAAAGTGGAAAGGATTTCCGTCCCCGGTGAGTTTGAACTTCACCCATGTATGCTCACTCGACTGGGAAGTGGAATGGTCGATTGGTGATCTTTTCTTCTCTCTATCTGTGGATTTCGAAATTCAAGGGGTCACGTCAACGAGAATGGCGAAATGGGGGACTTGACATCTACAACCTTGCCGATGTTGCCCTGCCGATATTGCCCCGCCACCGCGGGGTTCGGTGATTGTATAGTCGATTTTATCTGTGAAAGATATCAGGGTAAGCTAGTTTCGAGCCATCTCATTCTTGTGCAGACCGATATTTCTATTTCGAACTCCGGTCTCTACAACTTGGACCTGACCCGGAATCGACCCGGAATCGATCATCGGTTTGCAGCATTCATGCTACTTCCAACGAGGGCTGAGATACTCTGTTGAATGAAGACAGCAGTGTCTCACCTATAATGTCCGCATCTTCTCCTTTGACCAACCCCTATCAAAGTGTCCCTTTGATTGAGAAAGTAAAACGAATCTGCAGAAAGATGTGACAATAGTACAGGCCCAAGTCCAGATTCACTTGAGGTCTATACTTCCCACTGGAATCAAAGTGTTGGTCTGGAGCAAAACCTCGGTGATAGAGAACCTTGCATATCCGGCTCAACTTTTTAAATAGAATCTATTTGAGCCCTTTGCATATGCTAGGGCGCAAGACGTTTTGGAGGATGATTGCCCAAGATCAACACTTCACATGACATCTGAATCCGATCATCCTGTCTGATTCATTGGCATTCTGCGCGAAACCGAGACTTGAGATAGGGTGGCATGCAAATATAAGTACGGAGCCAAGACGCATCCTAATCGGTACTAGCCAACGAGATTCCTCCAACATTCCAACATGCCGTCGACAATTTCACCTGTGGCATTCACTCCATCCCAGCGTCGAAGTACCCTCAGATACACCCCAAGCCGGAAGTACCGACCCCGTCGAGCTCTCATCCGTCCGGTCTACATGGATGTAAACCCGTTCATCGGTCACACTTCCTCACACTCGTTGATGCATTCTTGACCCAAACATCATGCAGTCGATTGCCCGCGATGCCATCGGCACCAGAGCGTTAGTTTCTGCAGACAGCAACGGTAGCGAGAAGGAGCGGAGTGGGGAATCTGAATTTGGGGATTTCCGGTGGTTGCTAATTGGCGAGGCTGGGCTGCATCTAATTATCTGTTTCTGCGACCTGGTGGGATATTTCAAGTTTCCAAATGAGAGTGGTGTGAATACTGTCCTGTTCAATCTAACTCGGTGTGGAATCGATATTTTTTTTTCTAGTGGAAAAAGAGAGAAGGAAAATTTCCTTGTCGCGATGGGAGGACTTGGAAGATGCGGGCAGGTTGCTAACCTGCAAATCTCCCATCTTTGTTCGAATCAGGTATTCCGAATGAGCATGTTCAAACTGTGCGATGAAATCCCATTGATGTTGTGAGATTCGTATCTGACAAGTCTGAGATTCCCCAAGAAACGAATAATTTGGCTCAATCGATTGCCATCGGCCTCACGGACATTCCATGCTGCCAGCTTTAATCGCAGTAGGTACATCCTTGTGAAAAAAAAAATGAACACTCTCCTTCCATCCGAGTTCCAGTGGGAGGTGCATTCCGCACTATACTCTTCCAAACTCTCCGTTTCATTTTGTTCTTCAAGATCACGAGCAAGGTTTAGTTCCGTATAAAGCTGTTCAAACCGCGGCTTATGTTCAAGATCGAACATCACATCTGAATCCTTATCATCTGCTGTCCATTGTTTAATGATTTCAACCAGATGTAAGAATGAATATCCCGTCCATTCTGTTGACATGGGCAGACCTGTCGTCAGCAGTCGGGGTTTGATGGACAGCTGTGGCCTCGGTGAGCTAATTGTTTTTTTTTTCTCATTGCATGTGTTTTTAAGTACGTTGACCAAGTATCGGAATTTGCAAAGTATGGGTACATGAAAGTGATTCTTTATGTGAGTGGTTGTTAATTTTAGAAATGTCTGTAAAGTGAGTGATACCTGTAAGTTGACTTGAAAAGCTGGTTGTCTTAGGTCTGGTTCCGGTTCCATAGTTGGCCGGGAAGGCACAACTATACACTGTGATCACGACTATAATTTGAGAAACTAAACCAACCTTGGAAGAAAGCTATTGAATTGGATGTGCGCCATCCATGGATAATCCCTGTTTCTTTTCCCTTTTCGGTGCACATAGAATCTCGCTCGCCGAGTACAAAGTAAGACAGATATCGTTAAAATGAGTCATAACACATAGAGCATGAAAACAAAGCAGCTCAATAATCAAGAAGCGATACTTGCAGATGTCGTGTGGTCTAGTTTAAGGAAACTTGATGATCCCGGGAATTGACCGAGGCCCATTATCAGGAAAATGAGACCATCCCATCCCAATGACGAGATGGTGAGTGGCAAGGTTGGATACCAGAATGCCACACTGAACTTGAACGGACCAAATGCACTTGCTAGGGTACTCGCAAGCAATGTAGCTTTCTGTTGGCGTAGCAAGAAGACATAGCACCCAAGATGCCTCAGAAAATGGCAATAGCCTTAAGAGCAAGAAGCTAACCAAAGCCTGTTGGGTGGGTAGTTGATGTTCAATAGGCCTAGCTTTCACCATTTCTTCGGGGCAGAAATCTCCGCTCGAGAGAAAGACGCAGAGATTGTCTCCTTTCCTCTCCGCTGCTGAATCGCGGTGATTCCCGTACGATCAGTGACTGTGGTCGCATTTATGATATTGTCGAATGCCTCATCCTCGCTTCCTCCTGAGCCGGACTCAGCATCTGAGTCAACATACAGTTGCTCCGGCCGACAAATTTTCTCCGGCTGCTGCTTTTCCTCTTCTTCCGGATTCTTGAACGATTTAGAATTGAGAATTTTGCGGCGAATTTCAGCCATTTGCTCTTCATCTTCGGAGTCATCGGAAATCGCGAATGGGTCCTTATCCTCATCTTCCTCTTCGTCGCTATCGTCTTCGTCGTCCTCGTCTCCGCTTTCGTCATCCTCGTCATCTGAAATTCGTGCGGGCAACCGATTGGTGTTGCCTTTAGTCCACATATCATCACCCCCATCGACGCGGCTGTCTTCGTATTCGCGTTCGATCTTGGCTAGCCATTCCTCCTCCGTCCTCTTAACATCCTCTTCCGTTTCACAGGCAGCGTAGCGCGCCAAAAGTTCTTTGTTGATTTCCAAGAAAGACGGCCCATAGCTGAAATGTCGGAGTAGATCTTCCGCCCATTCCAAGCGACGGCAGATGGCGAAGCAAGCAGCGAG